TCCCCAAAGAAGATATATAAAAGCCAATAGGCACATGAAAAGATGCTCCACATCATTAGCTGTTAGGAAGTGCACATCAAAAGCACAAAGAGATACCACTACATACACACTAGAGTAGCTGTAATTAAGGAGGTCATGTGATGTGAGAAGCACTGGGTGTTATACGCAACTGATGAGTTACTGAACACTACATCTGAAACTAATAATGTAATATATGTTGGCTAATTGAATTTAATTAAAAAAATTTTTTTAATTTTAAAAAAGCAATAACAGGTTTGGGTGAGAATATGAGAAACTTGAAGTCACATCATTGTGAGTGGGAATGTAGAGTGGTGCAGCAATTTTGGGAAATAGTACTTCAAAATGTTAACATAGAATTACCATATGATCCAGCTATTTTACTCCCAGGAATATACCCAAGAGAATATAAAACATACATCCACACGAAGACTTGTACCCAAATGTTCATAACAGCATTATTCGCAGTAGCCAAAAGGTGAGAACAGTCTAAAATGTCTGTTACCAGATGAATATATAAATAACAGATAGTATATCCACATGGTGGAACACTATTCAGCAATAAAAAAATCTGATAATAGCTACAGCGTGAATGAGTCTCAAAAACATGCTCAGTGAATAAAGCCAGTCACAAAAGGCTATCTATTTTGATTCAATTTATGTGAAAGGTACCAAATAGGCAGGTTTATTGTGGCAGAAAGTAGTTAAGTGGTATCTAGGGCTCGAGATGGGGGTCAGCTGCAAATGATTGCTAATGGGTAAGGTTTCTATTTGGGGTGATGAAAATGTTCTCCAAGTTAGATTATGTTGATAGTACACCTCTTTAGGTATAGCAAACACTATTGACATTTATACTTTAAATGGATGAATTTTATGGATACAAACTGTATCTCAACAAAGCTATTTAAAATAACCTCTGAGTTTTCTTTTAATTCAATAATTTGTCACTTCAGTTCAAATCCCACAATTTATTTTAAAGATAAGTCTACATAACAATGATTTGGAACAAAAGTATTATTTTTCTAAGATATAAATCATAGTTTTTATATGACCTTTTACTCTGAAATTATGAAATATATATTAAGCTCACCACAAAATATACTTAAGGGGGTTTGAATAGGTGAAATGTTACACATCTTTAAGCATAAACGATTTATAAATACTTCAGAAAAAAACTGAGGTTTCAAAAATTTTCCCATGGATAGTCAAAGTAGTGTAAAGATGTTGTAATATACATCTGTTGCTAAAGGAATTAAAAAGGTTAACATTTTAAGTGTTTTATTTTAGTTGCCTGATTACTGTTTATATTTAATTAAATTTTTCTTGCCTTGAGCCTGTTAAAAATATGCAGTTTTTAAACAAGATTTTAATGGACCTCAGGTGCACAGAATTGGAATAATCATTTTTCTAATTAGAAAATTAACATGATTCAGTTGACTGAACAAATATTTGTGGAATGTGTGGTGTGTGTGTATCCAGTATATTCAGTACACACACACACACACACCTACACAACATTCCTGGTACTTGTCTATACCATATAGCATGTATAAGTGTATCCTGTTGATTTACATGTTCCGAGTAAAGGCAATATGGTAAAGGTTAGATGAACTGAACTGGGAATTCAAAGTTCTGCCTTTTAATTCAAATCCACTCTGTGTGATTACCTGAGTCTCATTTTCTCTCACGTTCTTTAGGGCTTTAGAATCCGAAGTGTATTTTTTTTCCAGTTATATAAAATATTTTCTAAAACAAAAATTTGTTTTCTAGTGATTTTTATAGTTTCTAAAAATTGTCTTTTTTAAGATGACTAGAGGAAGTCTTCAATGTAAGGCGTTAGAAGTTCTCTGAAAAACAAACTGAGGGTTCTAGAGGGGAGGAGGGTAGGGGGATGGGTTAGCCTGGTGATGGGTATTAAAGAGGGCACATTCTGCGTGGAGCACTGGGTGTTATGAACAAACAATGAATCATTGAACACTACACCAAAACAAATGATGTAATATGTGGTGATTAACATAACAATAAAAAATTTAAAAAAAATTGAAAAAAAAGGAGAAATGGATGCATGCTTTCAAAATGTAGATGCAGTACAATTATTTTTAAATAAACAGAATAGGAAAAACAAATTAAAAAAAAGAAGTTCTATTAAAGCTTAAGCTTGCCTCGTTACTTGTAAGTAGTATACAGAGTTCAAAGATATTTGCTATTATGAAAAAAAAAAAAAACGAACCCTGTCATATCATGCCTCAGTAATACCAAATTTGGACATAACTGACTGGCAATTGGCTCTAGCCTTCTTTTTTTTCTTTTTTTTTTTTTAAGATCTTATTTATTTATTTGAGAGAAAGAGAGATAGAAAGTGGCAGAGGGAGAAGCAGGCTCCCTGTAGGGAGCCCCATGCAGGGCTCATTCCCAGGACCCCGATCACAGGACCCCAATCCCAGGACCCCGGGATCATGACCTGAGCCAAAGGCAGATGCTTAACCAGGAGCCCCTGGCTCTAGCCTTCTTCCTTAAACCAGTTCTCAATTACTGCCTAAGGATTATAAACTGGCTTTTCTCAGTTCAATGCACAGATAGTTGTGTCCTGTGTAAAGGTCCCTAGGTTTTTGCAATTTATGCCCATAAAAACTGTCTAGAAAGTTGGTTTTTCTTTAGCTTCACAGTTCCTCTACTTTGTATGTGACATTGCATGCCTCAGGGACGGGCATAACTTTGTAAAGAGTTCTGGTCCCTCAGCAAGCAGCCATCTCAGCAGTGGGAGGAATAGAGCCGCTGAAGGAGTACCTGGATCTCAGCAACATCTCCGACGTTCCTACATATTTGCAACACCTCCTACTTGTTTTGCTAGATAATTAGATGTTCAGTGTCTGCAATATAAGAATTCAGCAATATCTTCAAGGTATTAGGTCTGTAGATCTGGCATCTTTAGATACCATCTTAAGACTAACTCCATCTTTTCTGCTATTTTAATTTAGATTTTCCAGGCTGTTTCTCCATGTGTTGGTTATTGAACTTTTTAAACACTCCTTACCATTTGTCTGCATTCCCTTTCTATTTTCTCTCTCTCACTGTTTTTATGGTGCTTTCTGTTCTCCCTCTTTTCTCCTGCAGTCAGTTTTGCTCTAATGTGTCATTTGCATTCCTAAAAGTTATGAGCTAGGCAAAATTGCACAATAAAAAACACAGGGCTTGCGGAAGGATAGGAGTTTGTGTCACAATTTTACCAATGGCATAAAACAAAGAGAAAACTAATTAAAAATGTAGCACAGATTTATAGGTTAAATAGTCAAGAATTGCATAAATACTATAAATATGACTCTTTCCTTGGAAAAAGACCTGAAATTTGGGTGTTGGATGTGTTTCAGGGTTTGTGCATTATATGAAGTGGTGGAAGGAGGGGTATTTGAAATCAGGCAGAAAATTATAACACAGTTGGGGGTGGTTTGACTCAAAGCATGTGGTAAACTGAGGCCATGTTAGATGTTTGAGGAACGTGCACGTGTCTATTTTGTGTATTCCTACAAAGCTCAGTTAAGTTAGTTATAGGTTTCTGTGGTTAGCCACTGATTCTCAGGAATGAATAGTGCATAAGAAAACACAAAATTTAGAGCATAGCATAACATATAGAGCTGTCCAATCATTACGTTGTACACCTGAAACTAATGTAACATTGCTTGTCAACTGTACTTCAATGTATTGGAAAAAAGAAAACACAAAATTTATATAATATTCAAATTGTTTCTTATATCTGTTGTATTAAAACAGATTCATGTTTTCCAAACAAGCACTATAGCAAAATTAACTGTACTTTCTTTGCTTTTTCTCAACTTATTTCTTTTTTTATGTTTATCTTTTTTTAATTTGGCATTCGTTATTTGCATCTAGATTAAAGCAAAGTGCATCATCATTTTCTTATTTCAACTTAGTTGTGCCCTTTTTCTTTCTTCTTTAAATTTTATTATGTTATGTTAGTCACCATACATTACATCATTAGTTTTTGATGTAGTGTTCCATGATTCATTGTTTGTGTATAACACCCAGTGCTCCATGCAGAACGTGCCCTCTTTAATACCCATCACCAGGCTAACCCATACCCCCACCCCCGCCCCTCTAGAACCCTCAGTTTGTTTCTCAGAGTCCATCGTCTCTCATGGTTCGTCTCCCCCACGATTTCCCCCACCTTCATTTCTCTTTTTCTTTTAGTGCTGTTTCTCCGCAGTGGCTGCACTGTCTTCACCACAAAGCTTCTCCAATGTAGCTGGGCTATAGGACGTGCTTCTGAACACATGGGTCACCCTGTTTCTAGGCAGCAAGGGGGGAAATCAGTCTCAAAGTATTTAATCCTCTTAAGCCTCCTTCCTGTGGGTTGTGTGCACTCAGGACTTTTATGTTCTTAGCAATATAGAAATCAAGGCTTTTTTACGTTACACCTTTGTTCCAGTTAGGTCAGATTCATACCGGGAATAACCTTCTTTAAAAGAAAAACGTGTAAGTTCTTTTCCTGAGTGTCATTGAAAATAAAACTTGGCAAATGCACACAGAATCTTGAATAAAAATAGAAAATATTACAGTTTCTGTCTTCTTTCGTATTACTTAGTAATAATACACTTTATATAAGTATAATATTGTTTATAATGAATTTTGAATATAATTGATAAAATAATAGCTGCCATTTATTAAATGTTTAGGATACACCAGTGTTTTGTGTGAAGTTAATATATATATATATATATATATATATATATATATATATATACAGCTTCCAGTTCAAATACATCTCTTAAGCTATTTGAAAATTACTGATCTACCTTTATATTTAATGTCAGTTAAGAGTTTTTCTAAAAACTTAGTTTTTCTTCAAAACTAGAGTTCTTATTTCTCACTGTGAAAGCTCTATCAGTTTCATTTCTTTAAGTTCATGAATTTTAAATTGAAGATGAAGAATATCCTAAGTGCCATTTCTTTTTTATTTCCTGCAGCGTTTGTCCAATGGCTCTATAGACTCAACTGATGAAACTAGTCAAATAGTCGAACTACAAGAATTGCTTGAAAAGCAAAACTATGAAATGGCTCAAATGAAAGAACGTTTAGCAGCCCTTTCTTCCCGAGTGGGGGAAGTGGAACAGGAAGCAGAGACAGCAAGAAAGGATCTCATTAAAACTGAAGAAATGAACACTAAGTATCAAAGGGACATCAGGGAGGTAAGTGATTCATAACACTTTGAGACATTGCTTTCCAAATGCTGCTTCTGAGAAACTTTCTCCAAATCCCCTCTAATGGCATATAATGTTTACATCTCAGAAGACCATGATTTGGGATGCATTGTATTAGTTACAAAACATGTCCACAAAGGCAAAAAAGAGTTTACCTCATCAACCTTTAAATAGGTATGCAAAGAAAATTTGGTATCAAGTCACAGGGTAAAAACTTTCTGTAGTTTGTAATGAATTTTTAACATTTTTAAGCTGCTAATTTTAAATAACTTTAGACGTGGGTATGAATAATGAATTGCCACACTCTTAGCATATAGGAATACTCAAAATCACTACTTTATATTTTCCCCCTTTTATTTTGGTGTTGTGTCTGTGAGTGCGAGTGTATCTATGTGAATGTGGGAACCTTTCTTTCTCTATATCTTTGGTTCTTCCTAGACATAACATCACTTCATCTATTTAATAGAGTACTTGAAAGTTACTGCAAAAAGATACAAGGAGATATTTTATTTGTAACATCACCTAATCATCTTACCAGCTAAGGTGAAATATTTAGAATCTCACTTTTTGCTCAATTAATTAAAAAGAAAATTATCTGTATTTGTGGAAATTTTATTTGGTAACCTTTCACCTTTTTCATTTTTATGTATTCTTTTAAATTACATATTTTTTATCTTTTCAAATACTTTTCGTATGTAATTAACTAGTTGCTATTGAAGTTGAGTCTACTGCATATATTCATTTCTTTTCTTCCCATTCCCTCTTGAGCCCATTTTACATTCTTTGCCTCTAACATCCCATTAAAACTGTTCTTACCAAAGTCATTGCTAACTTCCCTGTTGTTGAATCCTGCACTGGATCCAATTATCACTCCCCGTAGTAATTCTTCACTTGGCTAAAAGCACCCTGTACTCCTCTGATTTTCATCCGTCTTTACTTTCTACCCTCATCCCAGGCTCCTTCATTGGTTCTACTTTCTGTAGACTTGTAGTGCCTTCCCTTCTCAATCTACCTTCACTCCCCTGCTAAGTCCATGCAGTCTCATGGCTCCAAAAACCACCCACTGCCTTGAATCTCAATTTATATCTCCAGCATATCCTATATCCTGATTGCCAGATGCCTGGAAAACTAACATATTCTCAAAATTAACATATTCAGGACTGTTTTCCCATTATCCTCCCACCCCCAAGAAGCCAGACTTGTAGTCTTACACCTCCAGCTGTCCCCAAGGCCATTATCCTTATTCAGATCAGAAAACCTTGGAGCTGTCCTTGGTACCTCTGTTTCACTCACACTGCATTTGATTCAGCCATAAACCTATTACTTCCAACTTCAGGATATCAAAAATGTGACCTCTTCTCGAAGTATTCATGGCTATTCCTTATTCCACACAACCATCATCTCTCACTGGATTATTCAATAGTCTCCTGGCTGGTTCTTCTGCTGTTGACCCACTTCAGTCTATACTCAACGTGGCAGCCTGAGTGACTTGTTACAATGTAAGTCAGTTCAAGTTAATTTTCTGCTTCAATGGTTATGTACCCTACTTACAGTAAAATACAAGTCGTGGCCTACAAGCCATGTATGATCTCCACTACCACCTTCCTGACGTCTTCGAAATCACCTCCTACTCCTTCATTTTAGCCCATTCTGTTCAGTTAAGATGGCCTCTTAAACTAGCCACACCTATTCTGTTGCATTTTCTTTTCCCTCTTCCTTTTGCTCAAATGTTTTCTTCTCAGTCAAGTGTTCCCTAACCTTGTTATGTGCACATATACACTCTCCCTCTTCTTTCATTTTCTTTGTTTCATCTCACAGCCCTTACTGCCATCTGACACAATATGTACTATACTGATTTACTTGTTTGCAATATACCTCCCTCTCCACTGTACATAAAGATTCATAAGGGCTGGGAATTTTTGTTTTGTCTTGTCTTGTTCACTGCTTTATTCTAATCACCTACACAGCTACGGGGCATATAATAATAATAATATAATAATAGGCATTCAAAAACTCTTTGTTGAGAGAATGATATTTATAAGTGTTTGGTGTAAATATCAAAAGGCACAGATGAGATTAGAATGTGTATTAAAACAATATCTACTGTCTCAGAAAAAGATGATCCATGAAGTGTGAGACGGCTTTACTACCACACAAATGATGATACTGTGCTCTCTACACCTTTATATGAATTGATCGTTCAAAGATACGTCTCTCATTTTCACTCCTTCCCACAACCCAAAGTCAGAGAATTTATAAAATAGCTGAAGGTTTGCCACTCTTCTATATCCCTGTTTGGAAACACTAAGATTTCTGGCTAGTAAAGCATCAACGCTATTTCTTGAGCTCTTGCTCTTTGTAATTTCTTCATTGTCTTAGTCCCAGAGATTTAGCTGTTTTCCTTTCATCTAGCACTCCTCTCCTACGTCCTCTCTTCATGTTTATCTAATCCAGTGTCACAGGTAGAGCCCAGGATCTCCAGCTCCCCTTTCTTATTGTTTATGTAAAAATAACCCCTTAATTCTAATAGTCTTTGGATGTAGGTGACAAAGAGCTAAGTCAGATGGAAAATATCGATCATCTGATGCCAGGTTTCTTTTATGAGGAAACTTTTCTAGTTGGTAAGGAGTTCTGCTATCACATGGAATTCTTTTAAAATATAACGAATCTTATCAGCTCTAAAAATTTTTATGTAGTTATATTTTAGAAGAGATTCGTGAGAAAAGAATATCTTTCATCATTCACCTCTAAAGGGAGGTTGCAAACAAATGTTTCAAGAGCCAGGCCGACATATAAATGTATAACACATTAGGCAGCAAACATGCAACATAGGAAGTGGTAGAGGTAATGAGACCTGGACAAGGTACCTATACTCTGCCTGCCTTTCTGGATATATCATGTGTGGTATGTGTGTATGTGTGTGAAGGACACTGTGAAGGCCAAATAGAATATTTCCAAAAAGGTTCAGGTCACAGACCACAAGGCCCTGGCTTACTGCTAGGAATTTCTCGAGGATCAACTATGAAAACCATTATGGATGCATTGCATTTAATTTCTCTAACTTCTTACATCGGTCCCATCCAGAAGGTACTTGTCATTATCCCCATTCTTCTCAAATGAGGTAAAGTGATTGTCAAAGGCACATGCACTGCCTTCCCCAGCACCCCACTTCTTCCAACCCCTCTCCCCCGCCCCGCCCCTTGCACCAGGAAGACACAAGATCAGCCCAGCTTCAAAACTTGTGTTTCTTCCGCTATGAGCAGCTTTCAAAATCAATGAAATAGAATCATTCATCAGTGATAACACTAGTATAAAAAATGCAGCTGCACTATTAACTGCCCAAATAATCAATCTTTTGCTCTTTCTTTCCAGTAAGATGTGAAAATCATGCACTTTAAAAAGGTATCACTTAATGCTCAAAACTTCAGCCTCTGCTTTTGTTTTCCTGACTGATAATGTACTCAATAGGCGATGGGCACACAAGGTCTACTAGATTGCGTTTTTTAGTAGGAAACTAGAAAAGTGATTCTTCTTGGCTACCCCTATAGCATTGTTAACACAGTATGTATGTATTATATAAGCGATGCATATTTGTTCAATTAATTAAGGAAAAATAGGGAATAAGAAAAACTGACGAGATAATTAAAAACTGAGCGCATTTTGCTTTGCATGTGAGGACAGACTAATATATCTAAAATGAATTGTGTAAGTATATTTCATTAATGGCTTTAGAGTATATTTTTGTCATTATTCTTTGTCAAGAAATAAATCTATTTAAAATTTACTTTTGTTTGAAGTTTTGTCTTATTTGCTCCTTAAATTCACTGTGACCTATTAGAGTGGGGGCTGGATTAATGCTAAGCATAGTCCACATATTAGAAAACGTAGATAATCTTATAGTAGGCTTAGCTCTCCACTTTTTTTTTAAGATTTTATTTATTTATTTGACAGAGAGAGAAAGAGCACAAGCAGGGGGAGCTGCAGAGAGAGAGAGAGAGAGAAGCAGGCTTCCCACTGAGCTGGGAGCCCAACATGGGGCTTGATCCCAGGACCCTAGGATCATGACCTGAGCCAAAAGCAGATGCTTAACCAACTGAGCCACCGAGGCGCCCCTAGCTCTCCACTTTTTTTATCAAAATAGCTACTAATTTGGTATTAGATAATAACATTTTATTAAATATATAGGTATGCAAAGAATTAGAATTTTCTATGATGTATTTAAATTATATATTGTTTTGTGAATTAAACCAGCTTATCTTTCCAACTTCCTGTTAAGAGTTCTTAAAAAATTCCTTAGTGATTAAATGATACATATCAATTTTGTCTTTTCTATGATCTGAAACATGGAGTTATATTTTTTAGTTTACTAGATCTACGTTACTATAGAGTTATATTTATTTGATACAATAAAATCCATTTTGTACACAAACTTCAGGTCAAAAGATAATTGAATCTTTACGCTGTTTTTCTCCTTTTAGGCAGCAGTTTTTAAAGACTAGAAAAAGCTTCCTTTTTTAGAATTTCCAAGTGACATGCAGGGAAAAGATATTTTTCCGACTTGTAAATTCAAAATTTATTTTTGGCAACACAGCTTGCAGTTAAAAATTGAATCTCCCACATGAATCACTGAATCAAAAATGCAGTAGCAAAGTCTATACAATGACTTCTGCATGCAATATATGCCATAGAGTCAGATCAGCTAATTAGAGGCACAATAGTAATTAATAATAAAAAAGCAGCTATTATTTATGGAGTGTGTGTTATGCATAAGACCACACAAGGCACTTAAAATTTTGTATCGCAACAATGTTGTGTGGTAGAAATTAATATCCCATCCAAAACCAGAAAACAAAACAAAGAAGCAAACAAACCAAAAAAAAAAAAAAAAAACCTGACAAAAGAGAAAAGGTGAGTTATAGAAAATGTAATCAACATTTTTGCATGGTAACTGAGTTAATGAATAGCAAAAACTGGGACTTGGAGCTAGT